AAAGAAAACAGACTATAGGAATTCATCAAAGAAATAAGAAAATGTCTAAGAACTAAAGTACATGTTTATAAATTAGAAAGACCCACCAAGTACTCAGTGAATTAATGAAAAAAGATTCAGATATTTTGAAAATAAAAAAAAAATCAATTTTATTAAGAAAGACCTTAAAACAGAAACTTAAAGACAAAGGGAAATAAAACATGAGTTGACAGAATTTGGACAGAAGTAGAAGAAAATAAATAAATAAACAAAAATGAATGTGGTAAGAGGACAAGAGACAATAGCATGAAAAAAAGAGTGTCACAGACTAGAAATGAAAAAAAGAAAACACCATAAAAGGAAAAAATGATTAGAAAGAAGTGATAGCTAGAGAAAGCAGGCAAAGGAGATCCAAAGTATACATAATCAGAGCCCTCAAATAAGAAAGCCAAACCACACTAGAACAAAAAAATAAAGATATAATTCAAGACAGCTTTCCTGAAGTAACAGGAGCTTTGATGCTAAATATTGAAAGTGCCAGAAAAAACTGACCCAGAATGGTCAGAATCAAAATATATCTAAGTAAAGCTATTAAATATCAATGATAAATAAAGAATCTGTAAGACAGGCAAAAAGACCAAGATACTGATAAGAAAAAAAGACTGGCCTGATTTCTTCACATTCAATACCAGAAAATGGGAGAGCAGCAACGACAAGGTATGATTCAATCATTTTCTTAACTTTGTATTATATAATTTTCCCAACATATACAAAGGTAGAAAGAATATGGAATGCCGGCCCTATATCTATCCCCAGCTTCCAAAATTATCAACATGGTGTTCTCGTGTTTACATCTGGCCAAACTCGCCTTCAAACCTAAATGCTATGCTATAGTTAGTTTGAGATAGGGATTTATTCCCATGAGCTAGCCCTTCTCTTGGAAACTACTATAGTGTTACTCCTCTAACTTCAATGAACATATGAATCACAAAGGAATTATATGACAATGCAGATTGTGATTCGGCAGGTGGGGGGGGAGGCAAAAATTCTGCATTTACAATAAGCTTGAACATTCATAAATGTCAATCATAAGAAATACTTCAATACATTCCAAAAAATAATATAGGTAACATTTCCTGACCACAATAAAACTAGAAACTAATAAAATAATAAAAAACCCTCCTCCACCTGGAAAATTTTAAGCAGATCCCTTAAAGGGGAAAGAAATGCAATCCAAAATAGCAGACTAGTTAGAAAATAGGAATAAAAAATTAATTATATATGAAAATCTATTGGTTAAAGCAATGCTTAGTGGAAAATTCATAACCTTTGGACTTAAAACTAAAAGAGAAAACCAATAAAGCATATGCCTCAACAAATTAGAAAATAAAAGAAAAACTAGAAGAATAAAGAAAAAACAAATTAACACATTAGAAAACAGGAAAGCAGTTATTTAGAAAACTAAGTAAATCTTGGGGCCAGCTGAGTGGCTCAGTTGGTTAAGAGCTCGCTCAAGAGTTTGAGCTCTGAGCACAGCGGTTTGATTGCCGGCCCGAGCTGAGCAGCCACTGAGCTGCCAACATGTGGCAGGATGGCTCAGCTTAAAAAAAAAAAAGAAAAGAAAAGAAAACTAAGTAAATCTAAAGTTTAGTTCTTTTAAATAAAAAAATCTAATCCAGGAAAATACAAATGGGGCAATGTGGGAGGAGAAAGGGTAAAACATACACAATCAGAAACAACGTGAGAGTGGCGCGATGGTTAAGAACTGGTTTGGGATGCCAGAGGGCCCCGGTTCAGATCCCACATATGAGGGCCAGTGACACTGCCCTCCACAGCTAAGATGCTGAACAACAGCTCAACCTGGAGCTGGGCTGCCATGAGTCGCCTGGGACGGCGTAGGCTGCAGCCCCTGTGGCAGTGGGTTGCCATGGGCTACCGTGTGTAGCCAGCAGCCAGCGTGAGCAGCCAGCAGCCGCAGTGAGCAGCCGTCCAGAAGCCGGCGACTGATCTGTCTCACCCGGGAAGAGTGCAATGATGGTGCCAACTTGGGCCAGTGAAGCAATGTCCTCCACAACTAGACTGAAGAACAAAACGACAGCAACTTGTCTGTTCCCCTTCCCCCAATTCCCCAGCACTGTTCCCATCCTCCCAATTCCCCAATAAAAATCTTAAAAAAAAGAAACAAAAGTGAAAATAATTAATCACAGAAACAAAGGAATTAAAAGCACAGAAAACCTATTTTGCTCAGTCCTATGTAAATTAACTTTAAAAATTAGAATGAACTGATTTTTTTGAAAAAAATACCAAAACTGACTTCAGAATAAAACAAGCCCCAAATGGCCAGTGAAATAGATAGTATTCAAGGAAATGCAAACGTATCAATGTTTAGACAATGAAAAACATTTTCACCCCAAAAGGTAAATAAACATCTAGCATAAATATTTTCTTGCCAACTAACCACTATTATCAGTGAAAGGCACAGCTACAGATGTTTAAAAGCCCCAAACTGTAAATTCTCCTGACTATCCATTTCAAAACAGTCATTTTTTTTCCTGGATAATGAAGGAGGAAGTCCAAAAGCATGACAGTCTATAGCCTAGAAATTCTGGTGACTCTGTGATAAGGACCCAGGATCTGAGCACTGGATGCAACCCAACAAGTCTATGAATTCAGAAGCACTCTGCTATAAAGATGTGCCACTTGGATGCTGAGACCCAGGCAGGCCAGGTGGCGGCCCCCACCGGGATCCTGCCCTGCGGGCTGCGTCTCAGCTACAGACTGCGGGCATGAGTCTACATGCTGACCGTGGCCGCTCTCATCTCTGTGCTCTGAGGAGCAGTTTGGAATCCAACACCACAGGAATTTCACCATCTCAGCATGACTCTAATTAGCCTCCATGAAATTTATAATAGCTTGACCAAATAATAGCAAATTGGTCAAGGTAGCCAAAAATGAAATGTCCATCTCCCAGACTAGAAATTTTAAAAAGAAAGAAACCATGAAGACATAAAACTTTGATGATTCCAATAAAATTTCTTTGTTTTCTTTTTTTTTATCATTTTAGTGATTTTACTATAACTTATTGCACTAATACCCAAGGTGGGTACTATATTTGCATGTATCAGCTTTCTATTGGTCTTTGACTAGAATATACAGTATACACTAACCACAGTACAATACAGTGGTTCTAGACTACAATGCCTCGTTACGCAAGTTGATTTAGTAATGTTCACTATAGCTTAGTCATTTTAAAAAATAAAATCTTTTTTTTTTTTAATTTTATTGGGAAACTGTTTTTTTCCAGAACCCATCAGCTCCAAGTCAAGTAGTTGTTTCAATCTAGTTGTGAAGGGCACAACTCAGTAACCTTGGTGTTAATGAGCACTGCACTCTAACCAACTGAGTTAACTGGCCACCCCTAAAATCTATTTTTAAAGTCAATCAAAACTCAAATGGAATTGAAAAGTCTTAGGGCGGCAATGCAATCTAGAAATGTCACATTACTAAACTTTTCATATGTGTTAGGCACAGTGATAGAGAAACAAGAAAAAAGAAATCCAGGCATCTGGACCCTCTTTGGACAACTCTCTCATGGCCTCTATAAAAACAGTCACATATACTGCCTGTCAAGGAGATGGGAAATGACAAAAAATTCTCTCACTTTAGTGTGTGATTTCCATTGCTTTAGTCAAAGAGCTTTATCAGAGGCATTTTCAAGGTCTACATAAACTATCTACTGGTTTCTCCCATTCCCTTAGTCACTGTATATGTCATATGTACCAGGCACAATGCTAATCACTTCACATATATTATTTCATTTAATCCTCACAACAACCCTAAGACAAACGCTGATGTGTTCAGTTCCATGTTAGAGACAAAACAACTGATGCTCAGAGAGCTTAAGTAATCCCCTCAGGGTCTGAGTCACATTAGCACCCAGACCCAAACTCGTTTTTTTATTATTTTTTCCTCTTTCACGGCATTTACTTTACACCTATTATACCAAACAGCATTTTAAACCCTGACATATAAACTCCCTAATAAGATAAAGCAAAGACAAAAGTGTTTATCTTCTGAGAAACAAGATACACCATCACTTACAGTCTCCAAACATTACTGCACTTTAACTTTCATAATTTGACAACGCATTCATGAAACAGTCTGCAGACAACCAGTTTTCACAACCAGAACACTTTTAAGCAGGCCTGACAGTCCTTGTCCTAAATTGTTTATTAGGTAAGAATTTTACAGCCATGACTTATCCTAGCGGTACGGTGGAGCTGGACAGTATTGCGCATTCTCCAAGCTGCACGGTGAGAGCCACCAATAGTATGGTAGAACTTGTGGCCCTTTCCAAGGCCACAGCTCTTGCAGCCTATAGATGTCGGCCCTCGCATCTCCCTGTGCCTGGGGACTGGTCTGGTGATCTACTGGATGTCAGGATTCCATCTGATAGCTTTATGGAATGGATCAATGACGATAACCTCACAGGATTTGTATGTGGAATGTTCACCAACCCAGTAAGAACTCAGGACTCTCACAGCCCCACAGTGGCGTCCAACTCGCTCCTGCACGGCTTATTAGGCCAGGTGGGGCAGGGGCCCCATGGAGCACAGAACGCTGGCGGTACTGCAAGCAGCGCACCCTCAGAAGAAAGCGCATTACATCAGACTGCTTCCTCCTCTGTAGCTCCGGGATATACTTGTAAGCGCCCATCTTGGCTTATGATGGCTGCGGCCAAGATGGAAAGGTAGACCCAAAGTCTTCACCATTTCCCTCTGGCATCCTGGCTAAGGCTTTTAAAATATATAGAGATAAAGACCTCAATCTGGGACATGCCTTAATTGCCATTACGACAATTAAAAATTAGTAACTTCCATTCCTCATCACTTATTCCATTATAAAGAGAACACCCTCACACATACCCACACCCACAGGAGGGTAGAGATAAAACCTCAGATGAGGACACAACATCCTGACAGCAGCGGTGGGGAGTGGGTGGTGGTGATGTAAGTGAGTACCTTTTCTGCGATGCCGTTTTCTGTCGTGTAGATCGCCATCAGCTCGGTGTCTTCATTGTCCTGTTCACCACTGGATGTGGCACCCCCATTTATCACCACCTGAAGAGAAACACTCCATTTAGAGGCTGTTTCACAGTACACCTCTCGGTTACATGGAAACATTTCCCCCCAAAGTCTTTTGTAAGTCTCATAAGAGACAAAATCTGCATTTTTCACCTACCAAATTGGCCAAGTTTTGGGTGTTCTTAAATGAAACTCCCAACAAGTGTGTGCTTCATCAGTGACCACTGCATGTGTTTTTTGTTGTTTTTTGGGGTTTTTTTCCACTGGGGAACAGTGTGTTTTTCCAGAACCCATCAGCTCCAAGTCAAGGAGTTGTTTCAATCTAGTTGTGGAGGGTGCAGCTCAGTGGCCCATGTGGGGATTGAACCGGCAACCTTGGTGTTATGAGCACTGCGCTCTAACCAACTGAGCCAACCAGCCGCCCCAGCATGTGTTTTTGATGGAGGAGAAACATACCATGTGTCCCTTAGAGGGAAGCTGTGTGAGCAGGAGCGTCAGCTGAGGGAGACCAGAAATGAAGCATCCAAAGACGCTACAAGGAGTGGGACCCCCAGTGCGCTCCAGGGGCAAGAGAGGGTTGACTAAGGGGCCAAAGATGCTGTTTCCGGGCAGGTGAGAGGCAGCCTAAGCTGCCTTGGTTAAGATCCTTCCTAAGTAACGGCTTGATAAGGACTGCTAACGCACCATGCCTATAAAAAGAAGATGTGCTAGTCACAGCACTCAAGCCCTGCTCTTCACCTGACTCAGCTAATGATGCAGCAGCCTCAGGTCCTGGCTGCCTGTCATGAAAAAAAGAATACTGAAAAAAACTGTATGTGTGACCAACAGCACAACTACCTTTTTAAAATACAGGGAAAAAAAGGATATAAAAATTTAATTTCTGGTACTATAAACTACAATAAAGAGAAGTAAAAGATACGGGATGGTGTAAGGAAAAATACAGTGCAACACACAGCAAAGGATCAGTATCAGAATTTCATAAAGAACGCCTGCAAATCCATAATACAAACAATCCAAAGGAAATGGGCACAGGGTAGGAGTATACAATTCACAAGGGAAAAAAATTAAAATATTCAACAAAACACACGAAAAGCTCACTTAAAATTATAGGAATGACAATTAAAATTTCCATTTTTAACATAATTCAAAGGATGTTTTTAAAGGTGAATCAGGTGTGGGGGAAAAGCTACTCTAAGTTATCAGAGAGATTATGTTCTTGGTGGAATGGCCTGTGTGACGTGTATGTAACTTAGCACTGGGATTTAAAACAGACATTTTCTTGAAGCCAGCAGTTAAGCTCATAGAAACCTATCCATCAGAAATATCCATGCTGAATACTTGGAAACAACCTAAATGGTCTTCAAAAAAACATTGTTAGATTATGGTATATCCGTTTCAAGAATAATATCCAACCAATAAACAAATAAAACTGATGTACTGACAAAGAAAGAACTCCAAGAAATACTGTAAAAAAAAAGTCATAAAATAATAAGCCTAGAATTACCCCAATTATACTAAAAAATAAAAAATTTGGAGTTTGAGCTCTGAGCAACAGTGGTTTGAGTCCAGCCCGAGCCGAGCAGCCGCTGAGCTGCCAACAGGTAGCAGGATGGCTCAGCTAAAAAAAAAAAAAAAATGTGTAATAATCTCCCTGTCTAAATGCTGGGTAAAGGTCCCAGAAAAGTCACAAACCAACATGAAGATTGCCCTACGAGCAAGAGGTTAAGGCCAGCACCTTTCATTTTTCACTCCCAACCACTCTTTAGCATGTGGGCCTTTTGTCATCAGTATGTATTTGTGTGTTATTTGTATATTGCTTTTGTAAATGGATAATAAAAAAGATGTAACACCAAAATATTAACAGTGGTTGTCTTTAATCAGCGGGGCCATTTTTACCTTCTTTTTCCCTTTATCTATATTGGTGATGGTCTAGAATGAGGACAGTTTATTTTTACAACAGGAAGAAATTAAAAAGACTAAAGATCCAAGCAGTATAGCTTGGATTGTGGAGGTCCAGAGAGATTTAATCCACTTATTTTTGTAGTTGAGGAAATCAGGCCGGAGGAAATTTTAATTTCTCATTCAAGGTCACATAGATTATAACCCAAGTCTGAAGTTAGTTTTAAAGTATGCCAAAGACCTCAACTAACATAATGCTTACAGGGAAATTTTTTCTTATATCATTTCAAATAAAGAGTTGCTTTTAAAACTATCTCTAAGACACGCTATAGCTTTTTACCTAAGCCAAATGGGTTTGTGGTGTTTGTCTGCAGAGCTAGCTACCAGCAAGATCAAGTCCATAACATGGAACGCTTAACTATTAGAACCATGCTCCAAGTCCATATCACTGCAGCACCAACCCACTCGGAAGCCAAGAGGTACACACACACAGAATGAACTGTCTTAAAACAACAACGTGTACTTACTAACTCATCAGACAAACCCAGGTCTGATTTAAGGTCCTATCCTAGCCAAAGCTAACGTTCACCTGCATTCATCGCCAGCTGCCACAGGGAGCAATGGCTTCATGGGAACAGGGTTTCCTTTTGAGGTGATGACAGTGTTTTGGAGCTAGACAGAGGGTGATGGTTGTACAATGCTGTGAAAGTTTTCGAAGTCACTGAATTGTACACACTTTTAAATTGTTAATTTTGTTGTGTGAATTTCACCTCAATCTGTACATGAGGCACAAAAGAGGAGATTCTGGCACGAGTTAGCAACTCTTACTCTTCCATACACACACACACACACACACACACACACACACACACACAATTAAACAAATAAGTACCGTAACATGCAAATGCTCCCCATACTAGGAAAAGGCTCACATACTCATTCAACAAACCTTGTTTGAGTACCTGCTGTGCTGAGGCAATGAGGATGCAGTCCTGCCACCCCCAACCTTTCCGGGGAAGCTCCACCAGGAGTGGGTGCCGGGTTAATTCTGACTCAACACAGGATGCAGCAGGGCGCCAGGGAGTAAAACACTAGTTTGTTTTACTACTAGCTTCCTTTGGTTTATTAAATTAACTGTTCTGATGGTCTGTTTTTGTTTGGGTTTTTTCTTAATACATAAAATTTAATTTTAAAAATCAAATGTTAAAATCAGTTCTTCAGGAAAGGCACTGAGTTTAAAAAAAAAAAAAAAGGACAAGAAATGTTCCTGACACTATCAAAGCTTCACATTTTTGAACCTCTAATTATTATTTCAACTGGGAAATAAAACATGTCTTGGAAAGTTTCTAAACTTAATAAAAACGGGTTTTCTTTTGTGTTATTAATAGCATCCTAGATAACAGGGCGATCTTGGTATCTTTCATCTCAGGAAATTGATCAAGTTTTCATTAAAAAAAAATATCAGCAGATTACTTAAAAATCCTTTGGGAACAAGATGTTCTTTCTCCCTGCTTTCCAAATTATTTGAAACCAAGCTTGTGGCCTTAAATTTCGCCCCCTAAACTAATATTGTACAATCACTCAATCAGCTATGAAAGCAGGTTTTCTCTGCTTAAATTTATCCAGTTGATTTTGTCTCCAATATGCAGGGCTATGTTGCCTTTGGGTATGGGAGTATATCTATTGCTCAACAATGATAATGTGTTTGTTGCTTTATTTCTTCTAAGCTAAGACAATAATGCTTAAGTATGTGTTTCTGAACAGTAATCTTGAGATGGTCAAATGTACAGGAAGCAGGAATGACAGCAGCAATAGCCAGTGTCATGCTGAGTGTCGATCATAGATGTGTGTGTGTGTGTGTGTGTGTGTCCGAGTTTTATAAAAGAACACCCAAATATTTGTTTCATCTCTGGAAAGAAATACACCAAAACAGTAGGATGTTGTATTTCTGGCTGATGGGATTTTAAATGATTTTGTTTTTCCTCATTACAGCATTCTATGTTTTCTAAATTTTCCACAGTGAACGTATTTTTTTTTTGTAAATGAAATTACAAATAATAAAACAATGACAGAAAACAAACACATGCAAACTATTAAAAAGATACAGTGAAAGAACACATTGGTTTTCTTGCTATTTCCATTTCACTCCAACAACACATTTACACCACAAAGCCAGGGAGGAAATATGGATGCTTTAAAGTATGTAAAGTTAAAGGAGGTGGGAGAAAAAAACCATGTCATTATTACAGGCAACCTCCCATAGCCCATCTTCCTCCTAGACCACTTTATCAAATCCTAACAGGAAATTAGCTTTTGCTCCAACAAAATTTGGGCTTAGATTATAGTGAAGAAATCTATCTGAAGTATCTTCCCTCTAATAAGCTCAGGAGCCTACCTACCTAGCTTAGGTGAACACAGGTTAGGAGTGAATGAAAAATTTAGAGATCAAGGGGGTTCAGTAGGTATCTACACCTAGGAGAAAAGGAGATCTTAAGTAGTCTAGGAATGCAAGAGACACAGTCAGGACTGACAATCAAGGGCTGGGAGACAGGGAGACCACAGGGAGGCTGTCTTAATGATCCAGGCAAGAAACGACCCAAAGACAACAGTGGAAGCAGGGATGGTGCTGACGGTGGGCATCACAGGGTAGAGAAGGCAGGAAGCTTGGACAACCACTTATGCTGTGTTCCTGTCACATCGGGTACAGCTTGGAGCACAAAGCAAGCCCTGAATATGAGCAGAATGGACAAGATTTCCTTTCCTAAGGCCCTTTCCAGGACCAAGAGTCTGTGAATCTGGCCTCATACAAAAGGAAGAGATCATCAGCCAAAATGCCAATCAACTTTGTAAATCTGCTCTAGGGAGTGACTGCAGCAGCTGTTACTTGATAATCATTCATATCAAATTGTACGTGTCCCAGCTATTAGGTGGCCATTTTGTATTACTAACATCTCACATTTCATTTAAAACCACCGAAATTCTACTCAAACTAAAAGTAAGCTGCAATGTAAGCAAATATGTGTTAATCTCCATACCAGATCAGAAAAATTAATTTTTTAGAGCAAAAACTCTAGAAAGAAAAGCAGCAGTGAGGAAAAGAATCTCTTACCATGCATAAAAATCTCCATCTGCATCCC